CTTCATTAACGGTCTAGCGAGCTTTATCACTTGACACGCCATCAAATGATTGGATGACCTCGAAGTGTTCCAGTGCGACCTCGAGGAAGCCAGGACTAGTTCGGTGAGGAGGGCACTGCCATTCAAGGTGGACAAATGCCGAGTTGTTTACATCCATCCTCAACACGCCTACAACTGCAGGCTTGGGGCGGGCGAGTTGAAAACCAACTCTCAGAAATCTGACCTAGGGGTGCTGGTACTAGGCAACGTCGGCTGTTCAAGACAGTCTGGGTCCGCCTCATAAAGAGGTAACCTGCATTTTGGTGTCTTTCGAAGGGTACTCGAAGTTTGGATTCATCCATCTTTACTCTGATGCCCAATGGTTACGTGCATCCCCAGTTCGAATACGCTATGCAAGCTTGGGAATCTTGGCTAAAGCGTCTTATCGCAAAGCTCGAGTCCGCACAAGGTCAAGAAACCAAAAATATCATGGGTTTGCGCCCCATTCCGTACCAAGAACGACTGAAGCTACACGGAGTTTTCGGTGGAGGCTACCGGCAGCTACATGGAGACCTCATTTTAGTATGCTGAATACTGAGCAAACCCAGTCATGTAGGTCTCCATCTTTTGAAACGCAGCCCAACCACACGTCTGAGAGGCAATAGCCTGAAAGTGAGTCACCGATACCGTTGTATAGATTGACGAGTATATAACTTCTACCTCCGAATCTGCAAACCATGGAACGACTTTCCAAACTCCGTTGTTTGCGCCTACAGCACAGCCACCTCCAAACACAACGATTGGATATCCCATCGAGTTCCCTACAGTTTGTTACATGATGGATATTCTGAGGTATATTCAGAGGAACAAGTTATCTGGAATTACAACCCACAGAGGAGCACCTAAATCTATGTACATGTGTGAGCAAACCGATTATTAGTTACAATAATCCCCAAACATAAAGACTTGTTAATTCGATTTTTTTGTTGCCATCACCTCTCCATAACCCTAGTTTTGCTTTTTACTGTATCGCTTCACTGCTGCGCATTTAATTTGATCTACATGCGCAGTATGCTGATTTCCAAGTCCATCAGTTACCAACCTAGGGGATATGTTAAGTTCATGCTTTTCTCCCGTCTTGGGCCGCTGTTAAAGCCAGATTGAACAAAGCACTGCTTGATCAAGCGCAAAGGCGAAGCGGATTGGCTCAAACAGCCGCGAGCCAACCGAGGATACACCTCATCCATCCAACACCGAGTGACAAGAAGCAATGACTACCTGTCCACGGAACAAACGGAAGTGGTGTGTAACCTAAGAAGTAAAATTGGATCAGGTGCCGTTCATTCGAGTTGACCATTAGCGCGAAGCATTCGAAGGACAAAAGGTGAATTGGCGAGACTAATTATAACCGGAGTTGAACATGGCCGTAGACACAGAGTTGAAATGGGTTGAACCGACCACAGTAAATTAATAGCGTGTGCTGACTAATGAACATAAACTGTCGGCAGAGGAAAAGACAAGGAGAACTGTCCAGTGAGAAACTGTCACAATTGACTAGCACTCATAGTTTTGTGTACAGTATAAATGATTCTTCACCTTACGAATATGATTTTGATCGCTGCCTAGCATCTGCTTTGATTCTTCAATAGCTAATTGACACTGGTGACACTTGGTTTGAACTGATTTTAATACTTCTCCACTTGACATCCAACTTTGAATGATCTGAAGTTTCCGAACACCGCGTCGCTTGACACATTTTCTTGCCTCAATTGACGGCAACCTCAAATGCGAGGTTGTGGAATTTTGTTTCGAGATACTGCAAAACACCACGATGTCCATTTATGCTTGGCTATTGTATAGCTTGCTTGCTCTATCTCTATTCCCTTGATGTGAACTCGGATGAAGCTCTCCTCATCCCATCAGTGATCAAAGTGGTTAAAACTCATAGTGGGTTTCGGCTTGCATCATCCTTCAGCGAATCCTATTTCCAAAATTTTGACGTACCCATCTTCTCCTTAGCTTTTACATGCGATTACCATATTTTTTCCATACGTTTCTAGAAAAACAAAGTTTTTTTTAGCTCTGTTTGTGCATTGCAAATGTTCTACAGACTAAACGCTAATAATCTGTCCTACAGTGTCGGTATTGAAACGAGTTCAAATTAATGAGGGGCTTCCTATTTCGTACTCTGCAGGAGACTATACTTTTTTCCGCCTAATGAGAGCAACGGTGAACCAATCAGATCTTCCTGTCCATCGACATGTGGTGATCCAAATTTTCAATGAAGTGCAACGTCAACCTCACAAAGACGAATAGGGAAAAAGCTACCTGACTTGGTTCGTGACTTGGACAAATTCAAGAGTCAGGTACAATTACCAGAATCAAAACTGCACCAGTAGGATTATCCCGAAGATATCACCATTTATTTTACCTTGAAAGCACCAACGGCATTTGGAGCAATTAGTCATAAAGAAGAGTTCTTTTCTGATACTGAGCACCTCATGAATGTCTTAGAACCATCCATTATCTACATTAATAAAGGCTATTTGTAGAATCTTCGCAAGTACGTCTAAAGACTGTACAGCGGAAACCGTCTTCCATCTATTCCATTGGTACATGCTGTCCACTTGAAAGTGATGTGCCAAAAAAGTTAATCCCCTGTACTGAACTCATCGGAGCATAACAGCTACAGTTGACACCTCTGTGGCGATCGGTAGATTGTTGACCTTTGCTTTGGAGTTCAGAAGTGCAATACCAACTGTGAGTTTCTGATGTCATTTGGACAGTCAGGTAAGTGTATTGCACTAATTGTGGAAACTGTGAACTCGCAGAGAAAGTGTACCATTTGGAAAGGTGACTACTCAACACGCAGGTTTGTTCCAGACTAACGCAATCCTGCTACCACTGCATTCATATTATTACGTTTGATGAAAAGCATAGACCCAACTTCGCCAGCTTTCCAATAAATGGACCAAAGTTCTGTCAACTCAGTGAAACACACATTAACTAAAGAGTTTAGTGGCCCACCTCCCCAGATTCTAGAGCCCCGAAACAACCTACTTTATAATGATGTCAACCAAACTTAAAATAATCTTCACCTTGCGTCTGCAAACTTTCCGCGGTACGTTAGTGCAAAAGTCATACAGTTAACTAGTAGGTATGCGGATGCAGTGTCAGCCAGATAGCTGTAATGTGTTTTTAATGATCCATTTCCCTCATTCTCATGTTACTTTCTAACGATTGTAACATTGTTAGCAATGAACATGGCGAACGTTTCATAGATACATCATAGCCGTGAAACAAAGACGTTTCGAAAAGTACACTACTGTACTGCTGACTGACTAATGCTGGACAATCCCCACAGTAGGCACGATTAGCATGCATCCCGGGATGTAAGTAGTTAGCTATCGTTGTTTAACAAATAACCAGAGCAAATTTGCAGTTTTTCTGCCATATTCTCTTAGAACCGGACCGCATTTGCCATGTTCCTGGGCCCGTGTAGGGAAGCTGTCACGTTCAGGATACGGTCCTCGAGATCGGAATGACCGAGGTTTACCACAAATTGAGCCGAGATCTCAATAGAGGTTGCGAGTCGCAACCCAACCACACAGCGTGCTCCCTAAATTCAAATTGTAGCTGTCACGTACTTTGTTTCATCAACACAAATTTCCCGGATACAGGGAAAACGGGGAGCCAGGTGACGTACGACGAATTTGATGCTCAGTGATATCGATTAAGCCAGTGAACTACTATTCCACTTCAACCTGTTCACGCACAATTCGACGCTGAGGCTGCAGTCTGTAACTGCTCGAAATTTCATAGTGAGCAGTAGAAAGTTTCTGTATCAGTTTAATAACGGACGCAATTGTCTTAGGTACTATTTTACTATCTTTATGCGTAGTTGTCCTAATCACAGAGCACTACAGGTTAACAAAAAATTAGTGGATTCAGGGCCGTGATCGAGAGCTGGAGAGAAGGACAAATGATGTCAAACGTCTCTAAAAAAAGCACCATTCTTGAGAGCAAGCGCTTGTACCCTATCATTTTGAACTCTCTTCGTCAAAATCACAGCGCATAAAAACTGTTACATTTTTAGGAATCGGTGTTGAACGTCATTCCAAATTGCTTACGTCTGGAACTGTTTTGCGGTTGAAGTCAAGAGTAGGTGGAAGGTTGGGTGATTTGCTTACTTATCTATAAATCAGAAGAAATGCCAATACTTGTCCTTTGAAAGAGTTGTTAGTTGTGTAAATTTAAAGCGCATTGTGATCGGGTGAACCGTCTGTTTACAGTATAGTTTAGTTAATGGAATCATTTTCCAGTTCATTTATTGAAACCATCGGATCCCATGCATCACATGATGTGTTAGGAGTAATCATATCTGGAAAACCAGCTGACCACTACAGCGTTTGTTTCAATAAGAGACAACAAGTATTCTCCCAATGCGGGCGCAATGAGCACTATAGAGGAAAACATAAATTGCCTACAAGATGTGATTTTTGAAGCGAAACCAGATGACAAAAAGGTACACTATTGTTTTGCTCGTTATTGCATGCGAAGGTATGAAGATCAAGTTTACGTAGTCGGTAGAGATCAGGTTTCTGGTTTGAGTACTGCTGAGAACAAGAATTTGTCGAAATAATTTGTAGAAATTAACCATTCATCTTTAAACGCATTTGAAATAATCAATCATCCATCGGTTCCAAGCATATTTCAAGACGTTGCATAGACAAAGTCCTTTTCGTTAGTCAGCAACTGACATATTGTGGACTACTAGATCAATTGACAGCACGGTTACAGTTCAGCCCCTCGTACCTTTAACCATGAAATTTACTTTTCGGATAAAAAATACGGTGAACCCGATCTAGTAGTAAACTTGATAGTGGGATTATCTAAGATAGTAGAGAGCTTATACATACTAGGACGAACCTCATTACAGTCCCCGTGGAACCGGGGGAATGCGATTCATGGGACTATGAAATCAGGACGGACGGCGTTTTTCAAACTTAAATATATCTCACCTTGTACTCCTGGTGAGGCATCAGGTGACGCCCATAGACAAGGATGTTCGGGTCTGACGCTGGTAAATCGCTAGATCGGCCAGGGCGATGACGAGTCACAGATCCATTGTTCGTACTTTTAACTCCCGTGCACCGTTTCAGGCGTGAATAACTTGGACTACTCAAAAGTAACTCCATTTGTGGTTCACTGAAGACTTCTTGGCTGTATTCAGCTGCAACAAAAGAGTCTGGGTCCCAGTTCTGTTGAAACTAAAATCAAAGGGTTGAGAAGAGATTAGTTAGTTGACGTACCCTTAGTCTGTTAGCTGAACGTACTGTAAAAAATATTGCCCAACTAGTTTGCATAATTTTAAATTTATCAGGTGCAATTCAAGTAGAAACGAAATCATTCAGCCACATTAGCAACTCAAAGGTCATACGCTAGACGCGGAAGGTGAATGATACACTTTTCCCAGATAGTGCTACAATTCCTGTGCTCTGTTCAGGACATTATCCACATTGCATTTCTTTTCTCTCCGCGTGTGCCAGCCTTGGAACGCTCTCCCTAATTATGTCGTCTCTGCTCCCAATCTGGAGTTATTTAAAAAACGTGTTGACGATGCATTGTCTCACTTACATTTCATTTTATGACTTGTTAGCAAGGGGCTACAAAACGCAATCAAACGGTGTCTTGCCAAACGCCTAACCAATGGATTTATGGATTTTATGCGTTTTATACACGAACATCTCCGCTATTCCACATAAGTCTATGGTGAGTCCACCACAACGCTTTTCACTTTATTATGCAATTGATTTTCGCAATAATTTCCATCCCACGGGACTTGTTAAGCGATGCTTTTTACCCGTAATAAACCATTGTTCCATTGTTCCATTGAAATACTAGCATTAAAAATTCGTGTAAACACAGTAAAGCGATTCCATCTTTTATAACTTGAATACCGAATGAACACTGGTCAGAGCAAACACTTGGTCTGTTATTGGCACAGTAAAGAATCAACTAGGAACGGGGAGCTTTAAGCCAACCTGCATGTCACCCGTAACCAAGAGTACAAGAATCAGAGCGGAACCCATGACCGCATAGATTCAGTTGCCGGACCATAATAATACTACGGTTGCGTTCTGTGGTCCAACGAGGGTGCGTGCACGTGGGGATATCGCACATGCAATTTATGCGAAATCCTGGTGCTTTTGGGCATGTTATGTGAAGGCGAGTGCAGAACGATATCGGGATATAAACACTGGATGCACTTTTGTCATTTCTCAGTGTTGGAAATTTGTGACTTTGGAAAGCAAAGTGCAACAATTAAACTGTGTTCACATAAAATAGTAGTCGTGGAACGCTAGCATCGCCTATGGTTACGGTTTGGGTCAGTGATCGACTCAGATATCAGAGATTTCACTAACGAACCATCCTCCAGTGATTGGTAATTTTGGAAATGTGAATCTATGTGCAGTAGATTCTAATTGATGCTGTGTTTATTTTAGCCCAAACAATGAAGAACTATGTCATAAAAAGTGTGGTCGCAGGTTGAACTTGCGAAGGTTGCCGGTTAATAGCAGCACTGCGCAATCAAATTTTCTTCAAGTGTTGGTCAATTCTATCCCTGCACTAAATCGCCTGTTCAGTCAGCTTTGTGCTCCTCATGTTGAGAAATCTTCGTGGTTTTTAGGTAGACACTTAAGGTGCGAGAGCCTACCTTCGGGAACAACATTTGACATAGGTTTTAGAACTTCGCGATTGTGTTTTCTAATATGCAGGGTGCATTTTGTTTGTTACTAATAACGCAAACTTATGTCATAGTTCATTTGGAAGTTAGTCCACATTTCCTCTTTCTAATAAAGGAAGTTGTAGTGCGACGTAAATGGTTGTCGATCCTAGCTACTGATCACAGGCAGTGCATGGAAAGCAGTAGCACTGGAATGTTGTCCCTATTAATATGCGCCCTCTTTTACCTAAATGGGATTTACTTTCAACACTGATCTTTGAACTTTCATACTTCACACAAAGCACCCCAAGGGACCTGGCAATCCATGGCTTTTTTATCGGTATTATACCATTGTCCCCTTTGTTACTGATATGCGGTGAAAATTAGAGCTCAGTGAATCTCAGCCTGACATCTTAGGATATCACAATTTCCGCAAAAATGGTTAACACAAATATAGCGATGGTTATGCCATATATCTTCGTAACGGCCATACTGTAATTACTGCTGATGAAGCTGCGGTTAGTGATATAGAAGGTACGTTATGGCTGGTGATCCCATGTATTGATCATCTAGTGGGTTGTTTCTATCGGCCAACCCAAGCTATTCACTATGAAACCCAAAAGCTAATTGATGTGATCAGTGCTTCTATGGTACCACCCAAAAGTCCAAAATTACGTCCGATTTCAACCTGACACTACGAGGCGTGTGGAAACAATCTTTTGTAAAAACCACAAAAACTGGACTCATCAGGTTAGGCAGCCTACTATGGCGATTCCTTCCGCCCATGTATCCGTTGATAATCCACTACTGGGTTGTGCTCACAACACCGTACTTTGTATCATGACTGTTGAATCATCTAACTCATCACGTACAGTGTTAACGCCCATTCGCAACCTCTATCGAGTTGACTGGAACGCATTTAATTAATGCATCGGTACCACAAAATGGATAACATCATTCGAAACCCATAATTTCCCTGTGGCTGAATATGGATTTATCACAAATATTGTCTTATTTGTGAATGTATTGACACCTATCATATAGAGCAATACCTATACTCATAATGGTCAACACAAGCTTCTCAACAAGGCCGCGACCAAACTAATGTAACGTAAAGCATTATATCGCAGAATCACAGCTTCGTTACTTTTTTACAAACACATAAGGCCCAACTGCAGCTGCAATCTTTAACTCAAACAACCAAAGTCAAAGCAAAATGTCGAGCACGTAGTCATCTTGACAAAGTACCCACACATTTGCATTTACCAAAAGGTAGAAACCCTAAATCTCATCAGGAAGTTGAAACGCTGACGTTAGATGATGGTTCAATAGCGCACTCATCACATGCTGTGCGGCAGCATTTTAACTCGGCTCTCGCATTGCCCTCTGTGGCACTCTAATCCTCCCCACACGGTATTGTCCGTGCGCTCGTTCGAAGCAGTTCGACGAGCTCTACTCAGTGCTTCCCAACGCTTGGATCTGACGTGTGTGGATGATATTCTTGCTCCAGTTCCCAGTTTTCGGCATATTCTTTTCCGAGGTCTACGTGTGTAACTACATCAAACTGGAGATTTCGAGAAAGAATTTGGACTCAGTTGGTGAACTGAGTGTTCGCTGAGCTCGGCAGGTTGACTGCAAACGTTTCGTCACCACTCAAGGTGACATCGTCAGTGCGCGTGTAATTAACAGAGTGGCGCGTACGTAGTGTCCGTGAGTGTGAGTGATCGATCTCCTAGCCTCTAGTCTGAGTTTGGATTGTTCGACAAGCACATGACCATCGAAATGGATCTCTGATTTTCACCTCGTAGTGTACGCGCGCGTGACTCTTCGGTTGTCGTCGTTTGATGCACTAGTCTGGCGTTCCGTTCCGTTAGATTTATTCTACTAATTCGGTGATTTTTCATCCGTAGTGCTGTATATATAGCATCTATTTCAACGTTTCGGTTTACTAAATGGTCCGTAGAATACCATGCTTCCAAGAATTCTCTAGCTTGCCTCGAATTTCCACGGGCTAGGGTGTTAACGTTCTCTAGGTTGAAATGGTGGCCGTCTTGGTCTTCATGAATGGAAACCAGTGACTGCGGGTCATGTCTCCGTATGGCCATTCTGTGTTCGTTAATCCGTGTTGACAGTTTCCTTCCAGTTTGCCCGATGTAGAGTTTGTCACACTCTTTGCAGTTAAGTTTGTAGATGACATCATTCTGACTGTCTTGTTTAACTTGGTCCTTCGGTCTTGAAAGCAATCTTTGCAAAGTACCAGTTGGTTTGTGGGCTACCAAGATTCTATGTGGTCATAGCAATCTTGACGTTAGTTCAGATACATTCTTGATATAAGGAAGCGCTACCCGTTTATCCATATTTTCCTGCTGTTGTTGCTGCACCCTCTTCTTTAGGCTTCTTCTGATGAAGTTTCTTGGATACCCGTTGTTTTACAATACCCGGTATAGATGGTTCTCTTCCTTCTTCCTCAATTCTGTCATGCTGCAGTGTGTTTCGACCCTATTGAAAAGGCTTTCAATGCAGCTTTTCTTGTGGTTCAGTGGATGGTTGCTGTGATAGTTTAATATTTGGTCTGTGTGGGTCTTCTTTCGATATACACATGTCTGAAATGTTCCGTCAGTGTTTCTTTGGACCAGTACATCTAAGAATGGTAACTGGTTGTCTTTTTCGAGTTCAATTGTAAAATTGATATCCTGGAATGTGTTGTTGTTTAACTCATGGGTATTCTGTATGGAATCTCGTTTGATGATGACAAACGTGTCGTCCACGTACCGGATCCATAATTTTGGTTTGATTAACGGTATTGTGATACTCTCCAGTTTTTGCATCATCGAATTAGTAGAATAAATCTAACGGAACGGAACGCCAGACTAGTGCATCAAACGACGACAACCGAAGAGTCACGCGCGCGTACACTACGAGGTGAAAATCAGAGATCCATTTCGATGGTCATGTGCTTGTCGAACAATCCAAACTCAGACTAGAGGCTAGGAGATCGATCACTCACACTCACGGACACTACGTACGCGCCACTCTGTTAATTACACGCGCACTGACGATGTCACCTTGAGTGGTGACGAAACGTTTGCAGTCAACCTGCCGAGCTCAGCGAACACTCAGTCCACCAACTGAACAACTTGCGCCACCAACTTTTGCTTCCATATCGTAATTTGGTCTCATTCCGAAGGAGAAGCTGTGGGCTCCCAAACCACGCGGCAACCATCCCTGCAAGTTGAAGCATAAAAATGTTACAGTCATTTTGCTTCGCTCATCAACTGAACAGCTCCAGGGAGGCTTATCAGCGCTCCACCTGCATGGTCGCATAAGGCAGGGCGATTAACAAACGCTGCCGCTTTGTGTGGTTGTGGGTGTTCAACTGCGAGTCGATAGATCGCTGAACCCCACAGTCTGTGCGTTTCAACCTCCATGGGTCTCGACCACCTGACTTTGGTGCGGTTAAACTACTCTCAATTAGTGTGCGTGTTTTGACGTGTTTGTACGTCACGCTTGGCGCAAAGAACACTCACCAAGGTGAGCGTTCAG